TCTATTTTTTCCCAGAGTGAATTGTCATCCCATCATTATTGCCGTCAGAGTTGAAGCTTTTTTTTCCCCCTAGGAAATGTAATGATCTTGTAAATATCCTCGGAGAAAGGTTGTATTTTCACAACATTAATGTTTTAAATAAAATATCATTCTGTATATATTGTAATGTAGCTCACCCTTTTTTGGAGGTCCTGGGATAGAACGTGACACCTCATAAACTCCTGACATGTTCTTTATCACCAGGCCATATATATATATATATATATATATATATTTTCTTTTTTTAATTTTTATTAGTGAGACACCATGAGGTACAGTTGTAGACTTACAAATTTTTGTGCTTGGGTTTCAATTTTACAATTTTACCCATCCCTCCACCAGCGCCCATCCTCCACCACCACGGGTCCCAGTATCCCTCCCACCCCCGTCCCCCCCATCCCACCCTGCCTCTGTCACAGGGCATTCCCTTTTGTTCTCTCTCTTTTTGGGTACTGAGGTTTGCAAGAGAGGCATTGAGTGGCAATCATGTTTGGTCTATAGTCTACTTTCCGCATGCTTCTCCCTCCCTGGGAGGATCCTCCCAACAGCCTTTATTTGGTGCTCCCTTCTCTATCTGAGCTCCCTTTTCCTTTAGCATGTGTGGCTGCCCTCCAAGCCATGGAGCAAAATTCTAGGCCATATTCTTTTTTTTTTTTTAATGTAGGAGTACTGCTATTTATTCAGTCACTGATTAGCTGATTGAATTGTGCATAAACTCCACCTTACTTTTTTTTTTCGATTTTTTATAATTTTATTTATTGAATCACCGTGAAAGCAGTTACAAAGCTTTCGGGTCTAAGTCTCGGTCATACAATGAAACACCTGTACCTTCACCGGTGCCCATTCTCCACCACCAAAAACCCCAGTATAACCCCATTCCCCGCCCTCCCCCTACCTGTGGGGCAGATGATTTCCACATTACGCTCTCTCTACTTTGAGCACATTCAATATTTTGACACCAGACCCACCATTATTATTTGAGATTTTACCCCAACACTCAGATCTGCTGAAAGGGCAACAGTATACAATTTATTTTCTATTGCTGATTATGAATAACATATGATGTTGCATGGCTGCAGTAGTGGCCGCGTGATTTTGAAATTCTGAAATTTTAACACTTAAATCTGGAGGAATTTCTTCCAAAACCTGCTGGGTTCCAAGATTTGGTCCTGAGTCTCTGGGATCATGGCCGTTAAGCAGCTTGATCAGGATAGGCCATATTCTTGGCATGGCCCCTGTAGTTTGCTTTTGTTTGGGCCCACATGGGGTGGTGGTGCTCAAGGGCTCCTTCTTGCTCGTTCCTGGAAGTCATTCCTGGCAGTATTTGGGGGACCCTTGCAGTGCCATGGACCAGACTCAGGATTTCAGCACGCAAAGCATGCATCCAGCCCTTGAGTGATCTCCAGTCCTGCAGTTTGCTTTTAAAGGGAATAGAGTGATAGTATGCATAGCAGGTAAGGTGCTTGATTTTGCCCAAAGCTGACCCAAATTCGTTCCTGGACCATGTGGTAACCTGAGCCCCATCAGGAGTGATTTCTCAGCACAGTCGGGTGTGGCCCCAAAACCAAAACATTTGTTTCACCCCGTAGTGTTAAACCTTCTGTAACAATGCACAAAACCATACCGAATTCTTTAACAGCTACATAGAAAACAGAATGATTTCATTTGGAAAGACAAGATCTTTCCTAAAAGAGGAAACACACCCAGAGGATGTGGCATGGTCTCTAAAAGTACCCGCAAGGGAACTGACAAAGTGTGATTCTTAAAAGCGTGCGACCTGGCTTTGAACCCGGGTACTGCAAAAGTAAGTAAGTGTGCCTATCTCGAAAACAGGAGGTCAAGAGTTTGATCCCCAGTGCAACCCATATGTGCTCTGCTGTCTTTGACTCCTAAAGCTGCCAGAAGGTGTGTGATCGCTAACACAAAGCCAGGTGTATATGAGCACAACTAAGATTTGCGACTCCCAGCAAGCAGCACAACTAAAAGATGTGTGTGACAGCAACCAGGAATGTGACCTCCACTTTGAGCATCCAGGGTGGGTGGACACCGACTCATGACAACAACATGAAGGAAGGGGGAAAAAACACTGACGGTAGCCAATTATTGGTGCTGAGGCTGAAATTGCAAGTATCAGATAAATCATGTTCTTTATGTTTTGGTGGAAAACACAAATAAGGAAATACAAAGTAGTTGATGAAAATACTTATGATTTAGATTGGCCAAGCTGGTCGGTATCAATTGTAGTTTATTCCATTCCTCTTCACTCCTGTCTCTCCTCTGCCTCATTCTCTCCTGGGCCCCGATCTGGAACCTTTCTCCTGGCTCTGACTCTGGATCTCTGGAACCCAAGCTCTCTTGCTTCTGACTCTCCTCTCCCCGAGCTTACAGTCTTAGTTTATATAGCAATCATGTAAGGCAGTGACACGGAGGTGGGTTGAACATTAACAAATCAACAAAGAGAGGCAAGACCACTCCTCCAGGAGATTAACTGAAGGATAAAATCTAAAGAGATTACTCCAGATTACTAGGAGATCCACCATGCTATAGCTCCAGCCCCTGGGCTGGAGCGATAGCACAGCGGTAGGGCATTTGCCTTGCACGCAGCCAGCATGGCCGACCCGAGATCAATTCCTCCGCCCCTCTCGGAGAGCCCGACAAGCTACCGAGAGTATCTCGCCCACACTGCAGAGCCTGGCAAACTCCCCGTGACGTATTCGATATGCCAGACACGGTAACAACAAAGTCTTCAATGGAGACGTTACTGGGCCCGCTCGAGCAAATCGACAATCAACAGGAGGGCCTTTACCTTTACCTTTACCTTACTAGGAGATCCGCTCAAGGGTGAGGATCCTAACAAGGGTGTGTTCTTTCCTCAGCTGGTAATCTACTTAAATAGTTGTAGTAAATCTACTTCTAATTTTTCTAGCACACACTATCATTCATTGCAGCACAGTAGCTAGGCAATGGTATCAACTCGGGTGTGACAGATGAATGCATGATGAAGATATGGTGCACATATATATATACACACACATATGCATATATATATGTATATACACACAATGGAATAGTATACAGCAAAGCAAGGAATGATGAAATCATGCAGTTAGCTGTAACATGGATGGGACTGGAGGATATCATGTTAAGTCAGGAAAAAAGATCCAATACCAAACGATCCTACTTACCTGTGATATACTGAATAACTGGGCAAGAGAAAGCAAGGTTTCATTCAAGGGGGTGAGGAAGGCTATCTCCATTATCCTGGTCCATAGTTGTGGAACTGAGCAAAGAAATCAGGGGAGGAAGAGGCAGAAGGGAGGGAGGGGTCAGGGGGGCTCAGACACATCGGTGGTGTAGAGGTATGGTGGATGTATATATCTAAACCACGGCGCCAACAGCACTGAACACTTGGGATCTAAACTGTAACTGAACTTTAAAATGTGCCTGTCAAGGAGGCGAGCAACCCAGGTTTGATCCCAGCATCCCATATGGTCCCCACGCCCACCAGGAATGATCCGGGTGGAGAGCCAGGAGTAAGCCCTGAGCACTGCCGGGTGTGGCCTCAATAAGGAAAAACAAACCAGAGGTATGACCCAAAAAGAAAAAAATATGAAGTAATATTACTTCTAACATTAACCTCGCAGAAAGACAATATTAAGTTCTTTTTCTTGTTGTCTTGAATAGAGGAATGCGGAATTTACTCTCTGACAAAAGAACAGTATTATTATAACCACATAATTAGGAACAAAATTGTTAGAAAGAAAACATTGTCTAAGAGCTGATCTAGGTGTAACATTAACCTACGAAGTCACATAATAACAATCAATGATAGGTTATTTTAGCCTTTTCTAAAATTTTGGACCAGGTGGGAACGGTCGGACCCGGCGGCGACATCCTCTCTTTCACACACACACACACACACACACACACACACACACACACACACACACACTGAACTTGGGGACACCGTTAGGACATCACAAAAATATTTCGGCTTTATCATTCTGTATGAGGGCAGAATCCCTCACGTGAAAATGAGCCAGGATCCAGCCGAATAAAAACCGGGGAACATGCTTGGGATTGGTCCCTGCCCCACCACTTTCTATCTTACCCGGGCGGCTGGAACTGGAAGCTGCAAGACCTATTTGCTTCCGTCTTTTAATATTCCCGCGCTTGGGAAAGTGAATTAACAGCGCCTGCAATTCTCAGGCGGTTGGCTGGGTAAGCCTGAGTGGAGGGGCAACGACCCCGGTGAGCCCGGTGAGTGCTGGAGGTGTGGGGGGGGGGGGGGGGGGAGAGGAGGAGGCTGAAGAATTTTCCAGCGCCCCCTCAACCCTGGACGGCGCTGTGAGGAATATGCCCCGCTGTGAGGTAGCAAAGGAAGGGGGTACCAAGGGGCGGGACTCCAAGAAGCTTTCATAAGGGGCCAAGAGCATCTTTGCCGGACAGCGCTGGGCAGGAGAAACCAGCAAAAGCCAAGAAAGCCAGACGCCAAAAAAGGATCGCCCATCCCACCCCACCGCCGCAGGAATCCTTCTTGGGGACCTGCGCGGCTTCTAGGGCAGCATCCCCAGGCGGACCAGGTGAGCGGCATCCACGTCTCCGCGGGTACCACCTGCCGCTCCTGGCACCAAAAAAGCCAAGAAAGCCAGACACCAAAAAAGGATCGCCCATCCCACCCCACCCACCACCGCAGGGATCCTTCTTGGGGACCTGCGCGGCTTCTAGGGCATCCCCAGGCGGACCAGGTGAGCGGCATCCACGTCTCCGCGGGTACCACCTGCCGCTCCTGGCACCAAAAAAGCCAAGAAAGCCAGACACCAAAAAAGGATCGCCCATCCCACCCCACCCACCACCGCAGGGATCCTTCTTGGGGACCTGAGCGGCTTCTAGAGCATCCCTAGGCGGACCAGGTGAGCGGCATCCACGTCTCCGCGGGTACCACCCGCCGCTCCTGGAACATGCGCAGGGCTGAGCCGCGCATCCCCGGGGCGGGGCCGGACTGCGGACCCCGCGAGGTCGATGTCCTGGGGGAGGAGGAGCCCGAGGCCGCGGCGGAGGCCCGGGGGGACCCCAGCGAGCTCCGGAGGGGACCCGGGGGTCCCGAGCGGCGGCGGCGCCCGCAGGAGGCGCGGCGGGGCGGAGGCGGCGCCGCGCGGGACGAGCGCCCGGGGAGCAGCGGCGCGTCGCAGAGCGCGGGCGCCGAGGACGGGGCGCCGGCGCCCCCGAAGCCCCCCTACTCCTACATCGCGCTCATCACCATGGCCATCCTGCAGAGCCCCCCAGCGGCGCCTCACGCTCAGCGGCATCTGCGCCTTCATCAGCGGCCGCTTCCCCTACTACCGCCGCCGCTTCCCCGCCTGGCAGAACAGCATCCGCCACAACCTGTCGCTCAACGACTGCTTCGTCAAGGTGCCCCGCGAGCCGGGCCACCCGGGCAAGGGCAGCTACTGGAGCCTGGACCCCGCCTCCCGGGACATGTTCGACAACGGCAGCTTCCTGCGCCGGAGGAAGCGCTTCAAGCGCCGCCCCCCGCCCCCGGGAGCCCCCCGGCACCCTCCGTTGCCCGCCGCGCCCGCCGCGCTGCACTGCTGCCCCTACCCGAGTCTGCTGCTAGGACCCCCGGCTCCGCCACCCCCTGCCCCGGGCACCGCCACCTCCGCCGCTCCCGGGGGCCACCCGTGCGCGCTGCTGCACCCGCATCCCCTCGGATGCTACCTGCTCCTCCCCGCACCGGCCCAGGCGCCCAGGAAAATGCCAGGCGCGGACCCAGCCGGCCTCGGCGCCCTCCCCGGGTGGCAGCCCTCCCGGAGCTCCCAGCCCGGCCAGGGGGACCCCGGGCAGGCGTCGCGGCCGCGGCCTCGGCCTCGGGGAGGATCCAGCTCCTTCAGCATCGAGAGCATCATGCAAGGGGTCAGGGGCGAAGAAGACCCACCAGGCACGGCGCAGCCGAGCGTGCCCCCGGCGCCGTGGGGCTCCTGCCACCTGCTCCAGCGTCCCTCCGTGCCTGGTGCACCCTCAGGCCGCTGCCCCCTGGCTGCACGTTTCTGCGGCAGCCGCCCGGACGATTTGGCAGCGGCAGCAGCAGCAGCAACAACAACAGCAACAGCAACAGCAGCAGCAGCCCACGGCGGGACTGTCCCAGGGGCTGCGCTCCCACCTAGAGCGCCTGCCAGTCTGCCTGGGGGTTGTCAGCTGCGAGCAAGCGGGCTTCAGTTGACGTCACTGGTCGCTCTTTGGAGCGGCGAAGGGGTCTCGCCGCCGTCCTTTTTAAATTTAATTTAATTTTTTTTTTTTTTTTTTTTTGCTTTTTGGGTCACACCGGGTGATGCTCAGGGGTTCCTCCTGGCCTTGCACTCAGGAATCACTCCTGGCGGTGCTCGGGGGACCCTATGGGATGCTGGGAATCGAAGCTGGGTTGGCCGCGTGCAAGGCAAACGCCCTACCCGCTGTGCTGTCGCTCCAGTTTTTATTTATTTATTTGTTTATTTATTTATTTATTTATGCTTTGGGGGTCACACCCGGCGTTGCATAGGGGTTTCTCCTGGGATGCTGGGAATCGAAGCTGGGTTGGCCGCCTGCAAGGCAAACGCCCTACCCGCTGTGCTGTCGCTCCAGTTTTTATTTATTTATTTATTTATTTATTTATTTATTTATGCTTTGGGGGGTCACACCCGGCGTTGCATAGGGGTTTCTCCTGGGATGCTGGGAATCGAACCTGGGTTGGCCGCCTGCAAGGCAAACGCCCGACCCGCTGTGCTATTGCTCCAGCCCCTCGCCGCTGTCCTTTTGAACCGCACCCACACCCTGTCGGGATGCCGACTTGGCCGGGTGCACCCGGAGGCGAGCAAGCCTAGCGCCCCGCCTTTGCTGCCGCCGAGGATGCCTTCGCGTGCAACTCCGGGTCGCTCGAGCTGCTGCAGCGCGCTTGAGACCCGGAGTTGAGTCACTACAACACATTGACAAAGGAAAAATTGCATCATGTTTCCCTAACTCCCAACCGACCGTCTCAAGTCCCTTCCAAACTCCACCAGGACGTTGCCGATAGGCACATTTCCGGAGGAATGTGAGTGGAGGCATTTTGTTTTAGCATTAATTGAAAAGCAAAATACAGTTTCCAGTACACGTGACCCTCCCACTCTCTAGGCACTACAAATAGTCCCATGTCAGATGCTAAATACCACACACTCTTATGTGTCTCCCTGTAAGTCCATGTGTGAAATAAGTAGAATTTAAGTTTCAGGGCATTTATTTATATAACATCTGTTTTGCCATCTTCTGTGGAGAGATGCTAAAATTTAAACCTGTGTTAACCAAATAAAATGACAACGTGCAGTACGATATTGTGTGATGTGTTTCTCATGGCTCGCTTTCTCAGTGGAACGGCTTTTAAATTTTAGCTTTCTTCCCAATTGAACAATTTAGCTTCACAGTAGGATTCATGATACATCTTAGGAAAAAATCTAAAAAGGGCTCAACATATACATCACGGATATTTCAAGTCAGCATTTAAATCATCAGGTCGAGATAGGATATGAGACCTCATGTGTATAACATCTAGAGGAGAAAAACGGAGGTAATGGAAACATTTCCTCTTTTTTCATCTTTCTAGAAATAGATTTTTCTCCTGAGCGAGGGAGATTTTTTTTTATTTTTTAATTTTTTTCCCATCTTTTTTTAAAAAAAAAATTTATTAGTGAAACACCATGAGGTACAGTTGTAGACTTACACATTTTTGTGCTTGGGTTTCAGTTATACAATGACCGAACACCCATCCCTCCACCAGTGCCCATTCTCCACCACCACTGATTCCAGTATCCCTCCCACCCCTCATCCCCCCATCCCCCTCTCCCCGTGCGGGAGGGGAATCGGTTTCTTAAAAAGCATTAGCATTTTCAAAACGAGGGCCTAGAGCAAAGGGCGATATCACGTGAAATGCCAAGTCCTGGACATTTACAATAATAATAACAAACTCCCTGTCTAGCAGATATTCTACAGGGAGTTTCTAATCCCTTTAGCGCTGACGAACCAACTTGGTTTAGTTCGAAAAGACTTAATTCCTAAAGGGGTTTTGCAACCAGAAAACTTTCACTGTTATTTGACTTCAGGATAGACCGGAGGGAAAGGATGATCATTCCAATCACGGAGTCATCCCGCCAGGAAAGCACCGTCTCAGTGCTGCGCTGATGCGGAGCTTTCAAGAGAATCATCTTCGGTCCCACTTTTGGAAGAAATTAATGCTGTGAGTGTGAAAAGGAAGAATTCGCCACTCCCCTTCTGAAACCGGCGGGGCGGGGTGAGGAGAGAGAAGATGAGTCTTTAACAACCGTTTAATTGGCCCATTTTAACTCCCGCGTTCTCATCTTCCACCCCGCGAAAGCTTCTGCACATCCTGCTGGGACTCCTGACCTTCTCTCTGTGCTGGCACCACTGTGGTTGCCGGGACGTTTTGGAAAGTTCCCAAGACCAGCACTTGATAGACACCGGGATGCAAGCTTCTAAAACGATGCTTCCCCTTGCACCCGCTGTTTTTGCATGCATCGCCAGGTCCCAGGCAGGGTTTTAGTTTTGTGGCCACCTTCGGCAGTTTTACTTCTGGCTCTGCGCTCAGGCATCACTCCTGGAGGTATCAGGGCCCATATGGGACGCCTGGGACAGAAGCCGGGTTGATCGCGTGCAAGACAAGTGTCCCTCTTTAGCCGTGTCTGCGGGGTTGGGGACAACATAAGAGTTCGCAACAAACAAAGAAAACAGGAAATCTTTTTTTTTTCTTGCTAAGAACTCTCCTGCTTTCCAATTCGGGGTAAACACTCTAGGTAGTACATTAAATTCGCGGGATAGGGCAGTCACCAGACTTCTGAGCCATCCCCTGTCCCGTCATTCTTGACAAGCTGCACGTGCTCCAGGCGACATGATTTTTTTTTTTTTAGTGAAGTAACAGATTTTATTTGGAGGATTTTTTCTTTTTTCTTTTCTTTAATTTTTATTAGTGAAACATCATGAGGTACAGCTGTAGACTTACAAATTTTTGTGCTTGGGTTTCGATTATACAATGATCAAGTACCCATCCCTCCTCCAGTGCCCATTTTCCACCACCACTGATCCCAGTATCCCTCCCACTCCCATCCCCCCCATCCCACCCTTCCTCTGTGGCAGGGCGATCCCTTGTGTTCTCTCTTCCTTTTGGGTGTTGTGGTCTGCAAAAGAGGCATTGAGTGGCAATCATGTTCGGTCCATAGTCTACTTTCAACATGTATCTCCCATCCTGGGAGGATCCTTGAAGGATTTTTTTAAGTTCTGGGGGAGAGAGAGAGAGAGAGAGAGAGAGAGAGAGAGAGAGAGAGAGAGAGAGAGAGAGAGAGAGAGAAAGAGAGAGAGAGAGAGAGAGAGAGAGAGAGAGAGAGAGAGAGAGAGGGGTACTCAAGAGAGAACACGGGCAGAGAGAGCCCCTACACACATCCTAGCATTGAACACGAAAGTACACATCTCAAGAGGAGAGATTGGGGGGATACATGTGCTCAGCCCACATGTGCTCAGCCACTTGGGCGCAAGCAGCACATGAGCTCAGGCAGCATATGCACCGCGACATGATTTTTTTTCCCCTTTTGCATGGTCCCCAGGTAACACCAACACTTTATTTATTTCTTTTTTGCCACGAAAGTGAGCGAATGTCAGAACCTGCGTCAAGTCGGCCCTCCAGCTCCAAATTTTCACAGAGCGAAGTTACGCCGCATTTTCAACGTTAGCCAGAAGTAGGATTCCTCCGGGTCCTCTTGGCGCTCCGCATCCACCCGGCCTGGAGCTCTTGAAGCGCTAGAGGTCGGGGCTTTGGCTGTGCCAGCGCCAGGCATCCTGCACCACACACCAAACCGAGCGGCGTTGGCCCTGATTGGTACTCCCAATCCATCGGGAAATATGAGCCTTGGACCGGCCCACGCCGCAGGTTCAGGCGTTGTGTCCCGGCGGTTCTGTGCTGGGGCTTCCAGGGATGCCCTGAAGTCGAGCTTGATTCGAGGTCTTCTGCAAGCACCTGGGTCCTTTGCTGCACAAAAGGATAAGTGTTGGAGGTCAGTAAAGACCCCCAAGCGTGTCTTAAGGCCAGGTTGATGATTTGCATCTGGAGCCAGATGGGGGTATGGGGATGGGGCAGAGTTCTGCGGGTGATGGGGTACCCGGGAAAGACACTTGTCCCCCAGGTCTGCTCACTAGTAATAATACTAGTACTACTAGTACCAGTGGCCAGCAACCTTCAGGGTTTTTTTGAGGTCTTGTAGGTCCAAGGAGCCAGATCAAAGCACACGCTTTTTCCTACAGGAGCTCCGGGTTCTATGCCCTACTTGCCCTGAAGTGCCTCCCTTCTCCAGGGGTTCCCCATTTCCCTCACTAACACTTTTTCCTGCACCCCAACCTGGTCCAGGAATGGTGACTGGCAGGAAGAGGAACTGGGACACCGGATGGTCTCTGAGCATCGCCTGAAGCAACGAAACAACCCAGAGCACTGAACTGGGAGTAGTCCAGCACTGCACAACGTGCCCCCACCCCCCTAAAAAAACGGAATAAAGAAATAAAAAGAAAAGTGAGACAGAGAAAGAGGAAAGAAAGAAGGAAGGAGGTACCCTGACCGCACCCAGTTAAGAAATTACTATAGAATCCCCATTACACAGCAAAGAGAAGTTAAGAGAATTTAGGAAAAAACAGGAATTAGGAAATAATTAAGAGATTTATAAATTTAGAGAAATCAGGAAACTGATGGGCACTGGGCAGCGTCTGTTTTCTGAGCCTCTAACCTCGCAGGCACCCACCACGTTTTCCCTCTGAGACAGGAAGGTGCCCGGCCGGGAACCCCCAGACCATCCTCCTGCTCCAGCCCCCTCAGTGCGCAGGCCAGGGAACAGGAGTTTCTGAAATGCCACATCCTGACTCCTGTGTGCTCTTCACGAAGCTAAGGATCGAGAAACCTCAACCGGGTTCCCCTTCATTTCGACGCCTGGCCCTGGCGGAGACCCAGGTACCACCCAGATCCCGGTTCCCGGGAACGCGCCTCCGCCAGGCGCTGGGAAGGTCCCAGCCCAGGCGAGACGTGGCCGCGCCCGGCCTGGCTCCCAGGGGAGAAGGCGACCCTCGGGGTGCGCTTCCTGGGCGTGCTCTTCGATGTCCCTTCTCTCCTTCCGAGTCCTGAGAAACCCAGAGCAGCAAAGCTCGCTCACTCGGAGCCACCACCGCCCTCCCCTGCGGAAAGCCCCCCGGGCCGCTAGCCACCCCGCAGGCGCTCCCGGAATCCGAGGAGTCTCCCCCCGCCCGCCAGCATCTCGGCTGGGTGCTGGGGACTGAAGGCACCGAAGGGTCGTACTGCGCCCAGGGGAGCTTGGCTGCACCCGAGAGTGGCGGGACTTGGGGGATGTTGGAGTGAGTGAGCAGAGACCACCCAGCAGTCGACTCTTCCTTCCTTCCTTTCTTTCTTTCTTTCTTTCTTTCTTTCTTTCTTTCTTTCTTTCTTTCTTTTTCTTTTTTTGCTTTTTGGGTCACACCTGGCAGTGCTCAGGGGTTACTCCTGGTTCATGCACTCAGGAACTACTCCTGGCAGTGCTCAGGGGAACATAAGGGATGCTGGGAATCGAACCCGGGTCGGTCGAGTGCAAAGCAAACACCCTACCAGCTGTGCTATTGCTCCAGCCTCTCTCTCTTTCTTTCTTTCTTTCTTTCTTTCTTTCTTTCTTTCTTTCTTTCTTTCTTTCTTTCTTCCTTCCTTCCTTCCTTCCTTCCTTCCTTCCTTCCTTCCTTTCCCTCCTTCCCTCCCTCTCTCCCTCTCCCTCCCTCCCCTCCCTCCCCTCCCTCCCTGCTTGCCTCCTTCCTTCCTTCCTTCCTTCCTTCCTTCCTTCCTTCCTTCCTTCCTTCCTTCCTTCCTCCCTGCTTGCTCTCTCTCTCTCTCTCTCTCTCTCTCTCTCTCTCTCTCTCTCTCTCTCTCTCTGTCGAGGCTCAGGCTACTCCTGGCTCTGCACTCAGTGGCGGGGCTCTGGGACCACGTCCATTGGCAGGATCAAACAAAATGACCCATCGCCTTATCTCTAAGCTATCCCGGCCCTTCAGTTCCCTTTTAGGTCGAAAGATCAAAAATTGATGCTGTGTATGGGTGTTGGGATTGGTGAGGGTGAGACTAGCAAAGTCACCCTATAATAAGATTTGGAAAGGGCTACGGCCATAGCACAGCGGGGAGGGCGTTTGCCTTGCACGCGGCAGATCCGGGTTCGATTCCCAGCATCCCATATGGGCCCCTGAGCACTGCCAGGAGTAATTCCTGAGTGCAGAGCCAGGAGTAACCCCTGTGCATCTCAGGTGTGACCCAAAAAGAAAAAAAGAAAAGATTTGGAAGGCGGTGACTGTGCGACGCCACGGTACATGTGAGCCCGGAGTATCTAAAAACACTCCGGTAATTGCAGGTGTGTAAAGAGATGATTCAGAAACTCGTCTCCCATTTGCCTCTTTGACTAGGACGCAAAAAAAGGAAAGCGAGGGATGGGTACTCGATCATTATATAACTGAAACCCAAGCACAAAAGTTTGTAAGTCTACAACTGTACCTCATGGTGTTTCACTAATAAAAATAAAAGAATAAAAAAATAAAAATAAAAATCACAAGTAGTTGCAAAAAGAGAAAAAAGGAAGGCGAAAAGATATGGAGGAACAGTGGGCAGCGTCAAAGAATAGAACAACTCCCAGGACTAGAACAGAGATAAAGCAAGTTGCGTCTTTTGACGTTTTGCACCAGCCTTCGCTTTCCTTGGAGTGTGAGAAATCTCAGAGCTCATTTCTGAGGCAGAAGGCTCAGAACTGGTCTCCCATTATCAGTCTCTTTCCAGTCTAACTGTAATCACATTCGAATTGCTAATCGTCATTTTCCTGAAGTTTTCCGCAATAGCAGTTTAGTAGTCTTCACACTGACTTTTTTTTTTTTTTTTCAGATTAGCAGTGAAATTATTTCAATGGTTTCAACAATTCACTCATTCTAATGTATGTCACTTGGTGTCAAGAGTTTTAAAAAGCTCATAGCTAAAACCACCAAAATTTGTTCCTCCCCACCAAAAGAAGTGCCCCAGAAAACTGAATGGGGGGGGAGGGGAAGGATTTGAGAACCAGTGACAGTAAGATTTCCTGCTGTTGCCCAATTATTTTAGCACAACTAAGACTTAT